AAACCGGTAAACGGCCCTGAGGGGGAGGGGGAAACTCCCAGTATGGCCAGAAGGCATGTGGGGGGGGACGGGACGCAGAGTGTTTCTGCTCGCTTGGCACATCGGCCACTTCTAAAGGGTGCCTACCAGGGCCTGGGCATCAGATCCCCCCCCCCCCAACCCACTAAACCCCACCTTACTATATAAACTACTTTCTGGTTGAACAGGAAAACGGTCGTTTCCCCCCCTCCCAGCTAAGAAAAGTTTAAATAATAATAATAAACCCCATGCTTCTGAAAAGGAAACCGGTGTTTCTAGGGAGAAAGGGGTGTGCCCCCCCCTCACCCAAAACCCCGATCCCGAAAGGCACCCACATACATAACAAGACATAGTGGGGGGGGGGATTTTTTTTTGTGAGGGGAAGACTTCTAGCCTTTTGTAAAATCCATATTGCACACTAGGACTATAAGCCATTGCTAGCTCATTTTGAATTTAAAAAAAGAAACGTGTACTTTTTTCTTCGGTTGTTTTTAATTATTATTATTATTATTTTTCCTTTCTTTCTGTGTGGGGGATGGGGCGAGGGGGAGGGGGAGAAGTGATGCTTGAAAACTACAAGTTGCGCTTTTTAATGTTTTATAAATATGTATGTGTATATATATATATATAAATATATATATATATATAAAATATAAAATAATATGTATGCACATATATAACATGTGTGTGTATATATATATCTATATGTATATACCTATATATATAGATATATAGCTATATATAGGATTTTGAGACAAAACACAAAAAAAATAAGGCGGAAAGTTTGAAAAAAAAAATTAATCCTAACGACAGGACTGTGTGCTCTGATTTTACTTGAATCTGGTCTTCTCAGCACCTACGTTATTAAGAACTGAATATTTTTCCACTTGAATTTAGTGCTACTAGAAAATTTAATATATGTGTTTTATTTATTTGATTTTTTTTTTTTGCATGACTGATGCAAGGTTTGACATTTTCACTCAATAAAAACTGGAAAAAGCAAAAACAAAACAAAACAGGAAAAAAAAAAGAAGACCCCAGCAATTATTTGGCTTTCTACTGGTTTGTGATGGTTTTGGTCTGTTAACTGGTGACTCGGATCCTGTTTCCATTGGTGGAACAGGCCCTCTGTCTTGGGGGGGGGGGGCGCACACAATCTATTTCCCCTAATATGGGGAGGGGGAAACACTGGGCACCACTTAGTTTCCCCTAAGGAAATGCATGGGGAGGGGGAAGAAACCCCCCCCCCCATGCCACTTATTTCCGATCAGAGAGGTCAGCAGTTTGGCGGTTCGAATCCCTAGCACTGTATAATGGAGGGAGCTCCTGTGACTTGTCCCAGCTTCTGCCAACCTAGCCGTTCAAAAGCACGTAAAAAACGCATAGAAAAATAGGAACCACCTTTGGTGGGAAGGGAACAGCGCTCCGTGCGCCTTTGGGAGTTGAGTCATGCCGGCCACATGACCCCGGAGACGTCTTCGGACAGCGCTGGCTCTTCGGCTTTGAAACGGAGATGAGCACCGCCCCCTAGAGTCGGAAATGACTAGCACGTATGTGCAAGGGGAACCTTTACCTTTAAGTAAGAGAAATAGGGGGGGGGGAAGCATTCCCCCTCCAGGAGGCACACAGGATACCACTTTTGTCCCCCAAGGTAAGGAGAAGTAGGGGGGCATCCTTGCCTTGGCACCACTCAGTTCCCCTTAAGGAGAATGGTGGAAATAGCCGGGGGGGGGGAACCAGTCTCTCCCCCCCCCGCAATGCTGTGGTTGGTGGAGGGGGGGTGTTCCAGGACCCCTAAAGTGCAAAATGGGATTCCTGGGTGTTCAGCTGCACAAGATAACCAGGACTGACTCCCCACTTGACCCCTCCCTCCCTGGGCCTTTCC